AGGAGAGAGAGAGAGAGAGAGAGAGAGAGAGAGAGAGAAAGGATCATACGAGAAATAGGGATCATACGAGAAATAGGGATAGTGAAAGAAATAAGAATGATTCCGAACCATTAGATCCACTAAACCAATGATTATGATCAAGTCAAAATTTAATAAATGATGGTTAAATATGGATGGCAGTATGGTAAATAAGTATATAAATTGTGGTCAAATATTTGTTTTTTACCACCCAATAGGGATAAAATAGTCATTACATACTCACTAAATAACCAATAATCATCACTAGTAGTGGGCCCCATCACTAATCCTTCCCCTCCCCTATCTCCCACACACACAAAAAAGTCAGATTTGTTTTTCACGAACACACACAGTTCACACACACACATACACGGACATACGGCAACACCCCAACACACAACCACCGCTCGTCGCCTTCCACCTCACCTAGCGCTGCTCACGCCGTCGCCCAATCCAACCACTCTTCGCTGGCCGCCAGGCATATGCCGCCCGCCGCCCGCCGCCATCGCCTTCCATCTGCAACTCGCCGTACGCCACAAAATTCCCGCCGTTGACCAAGGTATGTCCCGATGACGACGTCGTTGCCAATGGTGAACGCCTATTGCCGTGCTGCTGCCGGCGTTGTGGTCGCCGACGAACTTGGCTATTCGAGACGATAAGGTGATTGTTAATCCGAGGTGGTCGATGATGGTGGAGTTGTGACGGCGACCGGCTAAGGTCCACCAGTGGCAGTAGGATGAGGTGTCGGCGGGAGATGAAGGCGTGAAATTAAAAGATTTTCAAATTTTGGATAAGGGGGTTGCTTTTGTGAATTTAATGAGTTTGAGGGGTCTAGTTCAATATCAGCATTTTTTTATATATTGCACTGACCGCACGTTGCGACGCGACAAAATTGAACTTATATATGTTTTCCTCAACTAACCTCTACTAACTAGTAGTAGCGGCGAGTAAGGGTCGATCCCACAAGTTGTAGGAACTAAATTGTGATAATTTTGTATTAATTTAACTAAACTAAGAAAGCAATAAAGGGGAGGGGGGG